AGCCCATGATCCTCCAAGTTCTCCCAGACTATTACTATTGCTACACTTCTACTACTACTACCACCACCACCACCACCACCACGACTACTACTACTACTACTACTACTACTACGACCACCACCACCACCACGACGACGACTACTAGTACTAGTACTAGTACTGGTACTTGTACTAGTACTAGTACTAGTACTAGTACTACTACTACTACTACTACTACTACTACTACTGCTACTACTGCTACTACTACTACTACTTCTTCTGCTTCTACTTCTGCTTCCACTACTACCGCTGCCACTGCCCCTACTACTACTACTACTACTACTACTACTACTACTACCACCACCAGTACTACCACCCACTGGTACTACTACTACCACAACCACCCCCCCCACCACCACCACTACCACTAGCACTACTCCAACCACAAGCACTAGCACTAGCACTACCACTACCACAGCCACTACCACTTCTCCTGCTACTGCTACTGCTACTGCTACTGCTACTACTACTACTACTACTACTACTGCTGCTACCACCACCACCACCACCACCACGACTACTACTACTACTACTACTGCTAGTGCTAGTGCTAGTGCTAGTACCAATACTACTCCTAATAACAATAATGCTGCCACTAGCACTGCCACCACTACTACCACAACTGCTGCTACTGATACTGCTACTGCTACTGCTACTGCTACTGCTACTGCTACTGCTACTGCTACTGCCACTACTGCTACTGCTGCTGCCGCTGCTGCTGCTGCTACTGCTACTGCTACTGCTACTGCTACTGCTACTGCTACTGCTACTGCTACTGCTACTACTACGACGCTGCTTCTGCTGCAGCGAAGACGATGCGAGCGCCAATGTTGCTAAACCGGCGAGATTAGGATTCCCTGACACAGTTAACACTAGTATAGACAGTCTTGTTTGTACCGCTGCGTGTGGGGCTACAACACTGTGGCTGGCTTTCTCAAAACACCACTAGCATGCACCAGCGATGTGAATTATGACGGTAACATGTACATTTGCACAACAGTTCGTGGTTTTTGGTACCGGGAGGACCAACTGAATCATGCCAGTTCCTTCGGTTACTAAGTCTACTCCGAACAATACTTGCCCTAAGTGCTCGTAGTAACTTGTGTCACCCCATCTCTTTGAGTGGCACCAATCTCTGCCAGGCAACATGTAACAGCAGCAAGATTACTCACAAGCCTCTTCGTGGACTCTCCGGCACTTCAGTCGATCGGCAGCATGCGGCTGCAGGGTCGGTCTCCCCCTCGGAGACTTCACCGCACAGGCACATATTACATTATAATATTTCATCATGGCGCGATCGAAGATGGCAGTAGGTTGCAATGGATGCCAGTGCTTCCCTGCGAGTGTTGAGGCAAACTCGAGTCGCCCGGGCTTCGTTTAGCTCGACAGGCTTGTGTACTCATGTGGCACCAAACTCCAGAACAAGCCAAGGTTGATGCCTGCCAGTCTCAGCTTGCACCCCGACCATGACCAGCAACTCTTTTGCTGTTACCGTATATTTAGGTGCAGTTCTGGACTGATGGCTAATTTCAATGCACTCGCCAATGCGAGAGCATTCCTCGCGCATCGCTTCACACCGACAAAGCGAGCAGCTTTTCGTTCGAATTGTTTTCGAAGCAAAACCAGCAAGCCCACAAAGAGCGAGTGGAATGCATGAGCGTGGAGTTGGATATCTGGCTCGCGGCTTTAGAGGTAGTCATCGGACGTCTGCAGTAAGCTCCAACTCCACCCCGGATGCAGAGCATTATCAGAACGGAAGGCGCCAGCACCAGGTGTCCACGAACGAGTCGAGTCTAGCTTCGCCTCTGCTTAACTGGACAGATTGGCAATACGCAGCCAAAGAGTGGCAACAGTGCTCACCTAAACCAGTGCGAAGGCCGCAGTGACCAAAAAGCGACGGTGAGACACAAACTGCGCCCCGAATTTTTGGCCACGACATGTATCATCAAAAGCGACTCTGCGATCGGGCCAGGTAAAATGAAGTTTCCGGAACAGCAGCTTCATATGCTGTGGAAGATCTCAACTGCTTTCCTACGATTCTTCATCGTTGTCATGTGCTCCGCGCATGACTGCAGCAAGCGAGACACGTGCCAACTGTTGGAAGTGAAACGCCCGCTCACAAATCTGTTCCTGCCGCTCCTGGACCAAAGCAGGTTCAGGTCTGGCAAGCTGCAACAGACATTGTGCATGTCTACAAACCGTGAAACCACGAGAGGTGTGTCAGCGTATAGACAAACTATATTATATGTGCGTATGTATGTGGACATGAATGAACTTGATTGGCAGACATGCATTTCGCAGATAGATAGATAAATAGACAGAAACCCAGATAAGTACATGTATTATGCTGACCTATGCTGTCAGTCCAAAACAGTGCCAACGATTCTCTTACACACACACCCGTTACAAAGGTGGCATGGAGGCCGCAATTCGTTTTGAACTGTCTGTCTCTGCCTGCATCTATGCGGATGTGTCTGTATGTGAAAAATAAGCAAGAGTACCGCAATGAACAGCAAACGACCTAATCCGAGAATGGGAATTTAAAAAGGTCACAGATTTCAAGAAAACTATTTTGGCCGGAGTTGGGTCTGGAAGACTACTTTCAATTGCGGCCGGATTTCGTATGGGGAGAAGGGACCACATTCAAAGAAAATTATTTCGGGTAGCTTCGAAATTTTGCTGCTTTAAGACAGAAGCAAAGCTGCTTTCCGAAGCAGGCCTTGCCCTTCGGCAGAAGCAGAAGCTGTCTTTCGGAGTCAAGCTTTTTCCGAAAGCTGAGGCCCTTCAGAAAGCTAGGCCCTTATGAAGGGAAGCATTTTTTCATTTTTCCTAAGCTACCCCTTACGGAGCCTGCCTGGCAGCAGACCGAAACAGATTTTTAAAAGGGACCACATTTATGGCACGGTTTCGGGCCGGGCCCGGCTGGATACTGCCTTTATTTGTAATAGAGCCAACAGAAATTCTATTAAAGCGGCTCCCGCCATCCTTATTCTGGAAACGAGACGGGGGGCCCTTACTGTTTAGATGCTCGAATTCAGCCCCAAAGCCGACATGTAGGCCCGACCTCGTTGATGGAGAGGTCGTTCTCCTCATCATCATTCATCATATTCTCCATGACCGCGGCCATGAGAATGCCAACTGTGCGCAGGTACCTTTCTGCTTGGTAAGCCGATGATTATGTTTCAAGACCAGCTTGCCTTCCCTGCCAGACTAGTCAGCCATGACACATGTAACTGTAGCCACCGGTCTCGATCACCAGCCGCATAAACTTTGCGACGTCCACATAGGTGTAAAGCGCTGCACCTTCACATTCGCAAGCCAGGCTTCCCAAAGACTTCATGATGATGTGGTTCCTGTTGCTGCCATGCTAACGTAGCTCACTACTGCTTCGTTCTGCCCACCAGAACTCCATGTAACGAAGCTCGGACTCTCTATGTGGCCTGCCTTGAGCAGAAAGCTGCCCGCGATGCCACCATTGTGTCCACAGTGCGATTTCACAAAGCCAGGTTCCTTCACCTGACTGGAGCGACGGCACGCGTCATGGGGGGTTCCGAAAATAGGGGGTACCTTATTTTGGGGTCCTTATAATAAGGGTCCTACTATTTAGGGTACTATATTAGGGTCCCCTATTTTCGGAAACTCCCACATCGCAGGCCGCATCGTTGATGCTACTGTTGATCCGAACGCGGATGTTGCAGAGCAAACTCACAGGGAAAGTCGGCTTTGATGACGGCTTCACTTCAGCTTCTTTAAGCAAAGCTTCCCGGATTCTGAGCAGCTGGTACCACAGAGGAATGCAGCTAAACGTGCTGATAGAGCTGGTGAAGAAAAACTGGCGCAAACAGGCCCTGCAGTCGAGCGGCTGATTTCCATCGCCATGAACTGCCTTGCCAAAGCTTCACTATGTGTTGCTCTCAAACGGGCTCGGAATGTTTGAGTTAGAGTTGCTCTTGAAAAGGTTGCCAGCTTTCATAATCATTTTTCACCGGCAACTTCTATTCTGAAACTTGGCGGACTGCAGCTTTTGACATTACCTGCTCCTATTCATGTACAACTGACCAGTTGCTTCATCCTGTCTAAGAAGATTCCCTGATGCTTCACCTCTTCCTGGACGAGGACGCCATCTGCTCTAAAATCACCCCCCAAAGACCATAAAATTTCATTCCAACAAAACTCAGGCCCTTCTGCCAATCCACGTGCGAGTATCGACCCACACCAACCCGGTTAGCAGTAACACACGGCATCCACAGCGAGAGGAACTGCCATCCACTTCGTACGGGCGGGCAGGTCAGGTGGGGTATCATCGGCTGTTCCAGGTCGACGCCCGACGTGACGCATCCATTGCTTGCTGAAGAAAATGGTCAGGCACAGCATCAACATGCAAGTAGAAGGGAGCCACACAAAGCGAGATACAGAGGGAGCAGGTCACAGTACCGGGCCAGTGACAATTTGCGCGTCTGCAGTTCTGTACAGGTATGAACCATATCAACCTACAGTACTCAAACCCCGGCAAGCCAACCCATCTGTGTCGCATCGTTCTCGCTGGCGACGTATCGCTCGAAAGCAGAACCACGGCCACATGGCGAGGAGGATTGCAGCCCCACTTCCTCCACACACAGCCTGCCACACCAGTCTAACAGCCGACATAGGGTCCAAGCATCGTTTCTCCCTGCTGCCAGCGACCAGTACATGTCGCTAGCCGTGAAACAACGGATCAACGGAATGCCATCAATTTTGCCTTGTCATGTTTTTGCACTGCCTACAGTGGACGACACCCTCTCCATCGGCAGCAAGGCCGGGAGCAAGCGACACCATGAGGACCAACCGACCAACCCAGGCTGCGCTTGCCAGGCCGACACATCATGCGGGCCCAAAGGCGGATTCCTAAGTAGCCTCTCGCCTCACAATCTGCTGGCGCACAGCAAGAAAAAAAACAGTTCCGAGCAAAGAACTCTCCTGGCAGCAGCGGTTATAGGTCGACGCCCGACGCCCGACGAATCCACTGATCTGTTGCAATTGCCGGACACCATCAACATGCAAGCAGAAGGGAACTGTAGACTGCGAGATAGAGGAGAACGATGGGAGATAGAGCAGGAGCATGTAGTGACAATTTGCCCAAGACTATCCAAGACTCCACGACTACTGAAATGCCCGCCGGATTCCGTCAGATCGAAGGTGTAAGAGGGTGTGCGGATCAAGAGGACTTAGGGTAGTCGTACGCGCTTGTGGCTGAGCTGTGGAAGCCTGAAGCCAACTGCTCGCTCACTCATTCACTCACTCATGGTTCAATTCGACTACAACCCTGGGGTCTTGAATCCTCTTGCCCTGCCGCCAAAGCCATGGCTATCTTAGCCTGGTTGCGCTGCGGCGCGTCTGCGGGCCCTCTCACTTCCGCTTCCATTGGATGAAGCCGAAGACGCTGTCGCCACCGAGGATGACGGCATCCTCAAGGCTCCGGCAAAAGACAAAGCTTTTATGGAGCTGGCTCGCAGCACGAAGAATTACGGCGTATCCTACGGGCATCCGATGGCAACTCGAAAGCAGACCCCAGTACTGTCCGTGTGAACTTGTCGACAACAATTCCTCGCCAGGGTGCATCACCAACTCACCGGTCGAGTAGGTCATGCTGCCATGGTTCAGGATGATCGCCCCGGTGCAGTCCTAAGTTCAGACTTCATGCCAGGATCGGCTTGTTTGCTGCGCAGATAGCAACACGAAGCGCGGCATCCACACGCAAGGTGAGTGTCGGTGCCCGGTAAGAACACATCCTCGGATCTCCTCGTACATTTCTCGCACAAAGCCAGGTGGCCTCGCAGGGTTTGCGGTTCGAACTCTAGGTCTGCCAGCTGCACGAGATTGGCCGTGTAATGTAAATCAATGACATGTACCAAATCATGTCACCTACTGCTTTGTAACGCAATGCAATGGGAAGCGATGCCATGATTTCCGAGCGATGTGATGCAATGCCATCATGCATGCATGCATGTATGAATGCATGCTTGCACTCATGCATGTATGCTTGAATGATTCTACTGCAGTCATGAAATGTACCGCAATGTAGTGCAAAGTAGTGTAAAAATGCTCGCGTGCATCAATACATGCAATGCTGCCACCAGGTTGCAGAGGTTGGTCATCAATCCGGTGTTGTCATAGCGGACTGCGAACTGCATCCAAAGTCGTGAGAGCAGCACGCCTTTGAACATCTCCTTTCGAAAGCATACACTGGACGGCAGTGCGGCATCGCTGATCGTGCAACGAAGATAAAGTCAGACTGCATGTTGCTAGTGACTCTGGCAGGTGTTTGTGCTGAGGGCTCCTCGTGCAGCTGAGCTTTCAGCCTCGATCAATTTGAGTCATTCAGGTGCAGCTGCACATCAACTATGGCCGCTGAGTTCGGGAGCCTCTCCGGAGAAGATTGCAGAATGGAGACGTCCTGACTAAGTAGTCGATTTGCGAATGCTATCTCGGTGGCGGGGACACACGCGCGGCGTCCTCTTCGCTGATGTACTGTGTCTTGTCGGCTTTCTCCCGGAAGGCTGTTAGGCAGTTTTTCAGCAGCGACGCTGGCAAGCGTCCTCGGCTGGATCGCCATCACTCGGACCAAATCTTGAGCAGTGGGGACCGACGAATTAGGACACAGAGACATCGTCAAGCGGCTGTCGCTGAAGAACTGTCGAAGCTTCGCCTCCTGCGATTGACGAGAGAGCTCGGATCAGCGTCTGGTCTAGCATTGAATGACATCATTTCAGCCGGGCAGCAACGAGTTCGATGTTTTTGCTGACTCTTCTGGAAAATGATAAGAACAAGCTCAGGTACACAAGTAGTTAGAATTCGAGCACCAGCTGGGAGCAAGCTCTTCCGTCCGCAACTCTACCCAGCCTGTGTTACAGTGCTCACACGTACAGCACGCAATGCGTTGACCTTGGTGGACACTGCAGGCAGTGCACGTCGTTTTGCAATGTGGGCATAGGCATGTTAGCTTTGCTCTCGTTGCGACCAAAATGCGGTGTTGGTAACTCCGGTGATGAAGGAAGAGATCCTGAGCAGGTTTCCTATCACAAGACTTTTTCCGTGTGGTCCCTGCTTGGCGTGTTTCATTTGACTTGCGTGGTGTCTGAGGATCTGACACTCCAAACCTGAGATGAGCACTTTCTTTGCCATGGCTATACTACTATACCCTGCAGGCAGCACTTGCTTTGCTAAGAACGACCAAGACACGCGAGGAGGACTGCCTCGGAAGCTGCAGTCTCTGGGCTGATTTAGCCACTTGCCGTCATGCGGGGAGCACTACTGTAGCAGCTGAAGGAGATATACTTAGGAGAGGATGCAAGGAGGATCAACGGTATCTAAGACTCTGGACCATGCACACAGGGGAAGCCGTGGCACGGCTGGCTAATGAGCCAATGCTCTGGAAGCTCTGTGACGTTAGAAAGCTTTCAGACGTCTAGAACAAAAGTTCAGTTGGACCAGCAGGCCAGGAAGAGCGCCGGGAGAAATAGAGCACATGCATCAAGGTGCCAAAACAGCATAAAGGCGCTCCAGGCCGTTTGTCGGAGCAATGTCCTGTCGGGCATACAAAGCTTGTGCAACTTTGCAAGACAATCAACCAAGCAAGGTGAAGAGTAGCTGCCAGTGTCCGTGGTCGAGGGCAGAAACTGCGCCAGAGACCAATGGAAGGAAGTCACATACCTGTTCTCATGTGTGTGTGTGTGTATATATATATATATATTATAGGTATACAAAGTTGCCTCTGCGACAGGCCATACGAGGTCTGCATGCTTGAACAAAGTGCCCAGGAGGCAGGCTCAGCTATGTGCGTATGTTATCAGCTGCACTTGGACTATTGACTGCACATGGTACCAATTCGGGATTGTCACTTCTCGAACTGGCACGGAAGTGCTGGGTGGTGTAGGGCCCTGGATAAGGCGATGCCTCATTACCCTCGAACCTTCTGTTTTCGGTACTCTGTGGCACTTTAATTTAATATGTGGTCTGTGCTTGGGTTCTCATACAGGACAAGCAGCTGAGCCGAAAATTGTCTGTCGCGGATGTCGGCGTTGTCCACCCAGGTCGACGAGTGCCAAAAGTACTTACCTGCAGAATCTGGCGAATTGTTGCATGCGGAGACTGTCGTATCAGTGGTAAGCATCCTCGTCCGGAGCTCCATGCTGGCTGTGCTCAAACACCCAGGAAGCCGAGCAGCCCAGTACCAGCCAGCCAATCCTGAGCACCAGCCATAACTACAGTATTTCTTTTCCCCATCACTCGGATACGCTTCCTCGACTCAATCTGCACGGCCTCACACAATGCCATCAGGGAAAGATTCGCCAAGTAGTGGTTGATGACAAGGATGACCACGATGCCCTTCATCATCTGCATCGCCATCCAGAAATACACCCTCAGCTGAAGACGAAATCATCGAACATGCGATTACAACACGTAGACTTGCTCCTGATCTGATCAGCCCACGTTTCAACTGCAATAGAATTCCATGCACCGGACCTTCACATCCACCC